AAGGAAAAACGGGAATTTTTACGCAAAATCTTTTTTCGAGAAAATCGATTTTGTTTTTTGGTGTAACTTTAAAACAAATGACCGTAAATAACGAATAACTGTAGATACATGAAAATTTAACTGAATATTTATATTAACATTTCCTATACACCATACAATTTTGAAAATATTTTGACTCTTTTAGAGCTGTTTACGGACATTTTCAGTTTCCAATTTTTTTATTTTTTTAATCTATAAATATCAATAAAGTTTTATCTGTTGGGCCAAAAAGTGTAAAAATTTAATACAAGGCTCCTGATATACCTATTGTTACAATATCAGTTGAAAAATATTAAAAATACATAAGCACAATTTTTTTTTATAAGCATTTAAAGATCGAATTTTGACAAAATTTATCAAATTTAAAATTGAATAATTATTTTGTAGTTAAAAATGTATAAAATGTTTAACTTTTATATCTAAGAATTCAAAATTTAAAACAAGATTCCACGTAAGTAGTTAATTCTGTTACCAAAAAATCTAAAAAATACATAAGCACAGTTTATTTTTATAGTCATTTTAAGTTCAACTTTGGACAAAATTACATAAAAAAAAATTTAAAATAACTATTTTAGTTATTTTGTTGTGATTGTGTAATATTATTCGTGGGTTCTTGAAACTTCTAAAGTACACTTTTATATATCTATGGAGTATGGACTATGATAGTATCAGGGTTTGTTGTTGACGTATAACGCATTATAAGTACCTAATGGATATTGTGATGTGATTAATTTGGAATTTATTATAGGTACCTATTTTAGGTAAATTTTTTTTAATACGATAGATAAGTATATAGGTAATATGTCCTATACCTAGACTGACATACCGTCTCCGCTCAGAATCGTTTTTCTTATACAATGATATTATATCATTGGATTCAAATTTAATACCATCCATTATACAGTGACCCACTTGTAAACTACTGTACAGCAGAGCACCTTTTTTAAATTTAATTAATTGGATATTCCCTCATATTTTATAATGTATTAAAAAAAACATAAAATAACATATTATACATAATATTATACGTCTTTTATAATAGTTTTATTAAACGTTTTATTTCAATCGTATTTAATTTACTTTTTAATCTTAATTTCAAAGAAATAATCAGTGAGTAATAATCATAATCGTATCGACAATAGTTACAAATTATATTTCGGAATGACAGAACATTTGATTGCTTACGTCATTATTGATACTGCAGCCCTGACGCACTATAGTAAATTTAACCTACTTGCCTACCAAGTACCAATATTGCCTTATCTTTGACAGATACAAACAATACAATAAAATTGAATTTATTTTAGAACAATATTTGATAGTGACAACATTTACAAAAACATTTTTTATTGATATCGTGTAATTTATTCGTTATACTGTAAAAGCACCATATTATTCGTTATAGGTACAGAGATATATTTACGCATCGTTAACAATGAAATGATTCGGGGGGGGGGGGGGGGGTAGGTAATTATTCATTAGATGACTGTGAGCAATTTACGTGTGATTATAATAATATTGCTTATCTTCATATTATTATCTTCAAAAATGTCATTAATACGATTGTCGACATCGTGTATTATGTAATATAAAATGTTCGATTATAACTACATATATATCTACAGTCCATACTTATTTTTAAATTTTCGGAAGAGTGAGCAAGGTTAATCACAAACACGGATAATCGAGTCACGGATAATCGAGGTTCTACTGTACCTATACCACCTTCATGCTACGCGTTTTACTACAGAAGAGCAGTGTGGCGGCTCGTGGGTAAAATATTTGGTTGAGCACGCAGTGACACTTGGTATATGTTAAAGTTTAACGCTTATAGGTTTATGGTATGCAATTATTGTAAAAGTCTTTTAAAATAAAAATATCACCAAAATCTAAACACAAAATGTTTGAATGACAAAAAATAAAGATAGAAAATACCGGTGGATTTAAGATAATAATGCCGATTAGCACTGTATAGGTTAGGTTCCTTAGGTCCTTTTTATTCGTTCATCCCCACCACCCAACGACGAAACGTATTTTACACGGACCGACGGTGTTCTGAGTTCTGACTGACCTGCACACTATGGTCGATGTGTATTTGTTACATAACTCGACTAAGTCTTAGGAGTATAAAAATAGCTAATATCAAAATATTTTTTTTAATTAAATTTTTTACTGTAGAATAAATACAGTTTAACAGATATTGGATTAAAATTAAAATACATTTTTACTGTTATATCCATATTAATCCATGTGGAGTTCCACACCTATGTACGAGCCGCCACTGCAAATAGCTATGTGTATTGCATGTATAATATTATAATACTATCGATGTCTAGCAATATACCTACAATGTAAATCATTTTTTTCTAGTTAGTATTTTAGAGTAAGTACCTACGTTGTTATATTTATTACATGTAGGTATGCGTTAATTTAAAACTGAACTTACCTTGAAACACGTAGGTATGAGTACCTACATTTATCATTTATTTTTCTTGAAAGAGGAAAATAATTCATAGGGAAAATATTTGACACTGACCATTAAACTGCATTCCTATATACATTTTTAAATTTTAATTAGATTATTATTGAGTAGATTTTATTTTTTTAAAAACCTAGGAAGTTTTGAGGTGGATGTATAATATTAGTTACTTTATTAGGCTATAGGCATATAATAGTATATAATGGATATGTTAAAATATTTGAACAAAATTATAAATAATTAAATACGAAAACATTTCTGAGAGGAGACGGTGGGTCAGCCTTTATTTCTAAGGATATTATATTGATTTATATTAATAAGAGTAATTTATTTTTATATTTAATATAGAATTACCTAATTTTTGCCAAAATATTGTATACCTATATAATAGTATTTCATCATATTATAATATTATTGTTATTAACTTGCCCTTAGACAATACCGACGAACATTGTATAGGGTTCGTGGTATAGATTGTTTAAATAATTAAAACATTTCATTATCATGTTTGTGTATGTAAAATTAATGAACTGTGTATAATAATATATAATTTAGAAACGTTTCAAATCCCTGGTTAATATTTTTTTAATTATAAATACTACAATCATTATTTTTTGTGTATAAATATCCAATTTTGTAGTATAATTAAAACTTAAAAAGTAAAAAAAAATTGTTGACAAGTGGGTACCGCTTTGCTTTACCTACAGTAGATGTCGAGTATATTGTCATTGTAAATTGTAATGGATGTGTTGATAATTTTAAGTCAATGATAAGCCATTGAATACGATAGCGATCCTGTGCGAAGACGGTGTATCAGTCTAGCATACTTGAATAAATAATTAAAATATTAATTACTAAATCAAATTTATCAACAAAAAAATTAGTAACACCGAAAATTGTTCACACCTAATAAATAGAGTGCTTTCCGGTAAACTTTTTTTTGTTACTGGTATGATAATAAAAACTTATGAGTTATGAATAATTATCTCCTATAAAACTTACAAATGCTAACAATGTAAATCCACACTTTTAAGAATTTCTAACTGAAAAATAATTCACAAATGTTTGCTTTTTTCATGAATTTCGTCAAATATTGTTTTTTTTTTAATTTTCAAGCATTTTGACTTAAAGAAACTGTACAAAACTAAAACCAAAAATTTTAAATTTTCAAATGTTTATAAATATCACAAAAAGAACAAAAATATTATTATAGGTATCTAGAAAGTTTTATATACATATTAAAAAAACAATTCAAGTTTACGCCCTATAAGGTTACTCATATTTTAATTATAAAAAAAAATAAATACCACATCATTGTAAAACCAATGCATTCTATCATTTACAGATATAATAAAATATTTGAAAAAAAATTAAATTTTATATTATTAAAACAGGTAACAGATCCTTCAATTTTATCAAAACTACTTAACATTTCTAAATCGTCCATATAATTAAAATAACACCCCATTTGGTTTTTAAACTTTCTATTATACCTATTGGTTTTACATTAAAAAAAAAAATACTCATTACAATTTACAAGAACAGTTTTAAATAAATGATTATTGATATAAAATTTAATATTTAGTATACGATTTCTTAAATACCAAGTCATTATTCCAATTTCAGCGATCAAAATGTATATGAAAGTATGAAGAATTTGTATAAAACAAATTTGTATTTCAACGGAAAATTACATCATTGGTTCCTGTAAGACGTAGGTGTATGAATTTAAAATCTTGAATCGGTACTTTTTCTTATCTCAAATAATTTATTATGGCATTATTATTTTCATTGTAGAAGCACTTATTTGATTGTTATAAATGACAAGTCATTTTGTTAGACTTTGATGCTAAAATGCTTAAAAACATAAGAAGGTTGATTAAAGTTTTATATTTTTGTTTATATAGTATGCAAAAGTTCAACAATCTCAAAGAAAAAAAAAAGATAAAACGGCCCATTATGTAGGCCATTAAGCTATATAACTTTGCGCATGCAAATTTGATAAATCACAACTAATGTATAAGGAAATGTGCATTAAAATTAAATTAAATAACATCGGTTCTTGGTGTAGATACTGTCCTTACATAGAGCTATTTTAATCTTAAATAACACTTTTTAATCATATAGGTACCTAATTTGCTTATAATATTTGAACGTCAACATAATACCTATTATATCTCTCACACATTCATACATATTTCTTTTCTATGTACCTAGGTACATAATACATTTTTTCCTCAATGTATATTTAATCTCCTCACTACTTAACTAGTAAGTAGGTACCTAATTATCCTTTAGTATAATAATTTTATCCAACATAGAATCTTAATTATATGAGTTCTGAAATTATCTATGCTTAAACACAACTAAAAAGTTCTTCTTGTACTTAATTGTCAATTAATTAATTTAATAGTGATTTTACTGTAAAAATACATTTTTAAAAACCCAATAGGTTCACAATTATTATCTGAATAAAAAAAAATTATTTTTTGGAAAAAACAAGTTTTGCTCTAGGAGTGGCGGTTTCTTGTTTTGTCGTTTTCAACTTGGGCATGTTTGTGATAGTATCGAGTTCGCGCAACGGAATATGTTTATGAATCTTTACTCTAGGCTTCGATTCGTCTATCTTTATTGTTACTGGACGCCTGATCAACGTCGTTTTAGGTTTCAAAAATTCCTTGTGTATATCGTGAAGCGGTAGATCCGGGCACTTTTGGTCATGTAGTTTCCTCTTGCCTTTTTTCCCTCGTATGTCACGTTGCTGTCTCAACAGTTCTAGTTTGTCCCATATTGCTGGTGACCGTAAACTTGAATTGACGCCGTCCTTCAAAACTTGAATCGTAGTGAATGAAGTTTGCCGTTGGATGTCTGCAGGTATCTTAAATTGTAAAACGTTTACCGGGCGGGTCTTTGATATGTGTGGCCATGTCGTCCCTAAAAATATAATAATGTATGCATGTTTTTATTTAATATTTATTCACCGTATAATCACAGAAATAATTTTAAATTCGGTTTGTTGGACATGGAAGTTGAATCTGAGCAAAACGTTTCTCTGATTTAAATATTTTTTACTTGTATCTAATGCATTGTGTTGTGTATAACTTAAATGTACCTATTCTTCGCACGCACAACACATATTTTTAATCGAGAATCCAAGAATTTCTATTTTAGATACTGTTAAAAGTATCGATGAATGGATTGGTTTCATAGAAAATTTATGTATGTTTTTTTTTTTGTGTCTATCACAAATAAATAGCTTCAATATCTTAAACTTTGAGGATGGTGTATGCCCTATGGCCTATAGTAACAAAATTGATCTAGTTGAATGCATTTTTAAGTGGAGGGGATTGTAACATAAGTTAAAAGAGTCAATACTTTGTAGTTAAAAATAATTAGGAGAAACAAAAAACAAAATTAGGAAAACGGGAATTTGTATGCAAGATTTGTACCAACTATTCACATTAAGTAGGTATATCGGAATTTACTGTATAATGTAGGACGTAGGTATATGAAATGGATTTTATATAATTATATTTTGGCTCTTTTGTGCTAAATATTTAATAGTATTTATAGATATTTGAACTTTGAATTTTTTTTGGTTTTTTTTTTTTATTTATGTATGATTAAATGGTTCCTTGTACAAGTTGTACGTATATTCAAATTTATCCAAAGTGTTTTCTTAATAATTTTATTTACAAGATAATAAATGTAATGTAATAACAAGTACGATTAAATATGGTATACTGTCTGTAGCCGCAATAATAAGTAATAAGCACCAATCAAATAAAAATTATACGATTTTTTAATTACAATACTACTTGTTTTTTCATGTTTTGACAAATTTCGTAAAAAATTGAACTTTAAATGCTTATAAACCATTTTGACTGTGTATTTTCGATATTTTTTTTTTCATCCTCATAAAAGGTATTGTTCTTATAGATGCAAAAAAAAATATCGAAAATACACAGTCAAAATGGTTTATAAGCATTTAAAGTTCATTTTTTTACGCGAGTTGTACAGCGTCCTAACGACTGGCGTTTCGTGTGACTTACCGTCGTGCGGGCGAGACACCTCCTGATCGGTGACCGTCGGTTTGCTACACTCGACGGTAATGAACGACATGTCATCTCCACCCACGCTTATGATGGTCTGATCGAGCCAGTTGAAGTGCATAACGGGGAATAGCCAATTTTGACTGTTGTTCGGTTTCACAGCCACTGTGAGCCCGGTAAACGTCAACAGGCACGTGTTTCTGCCCAGGTCCCACACCTTGATCACGCACTCCGTGGACACGGAGTACAGGTATCCGCTGACCGTGTTGTGAGACACGCACTTTACGCCCCACTTGTGGCCCAACAACGTGGTGCAGTCCGCGGGGCCCAACACTTGGCCGGTGACGTCCCACAGCCTCACAGTCTGGTCCATGCTGCCAGTGGCCAAGTGCGTGTCACGGATCGCGCACACGCAAGAGAACCCCATCACGTTTGACGTGTAACGGATGGACGGCAAGGTGTTGGTCGGCTGCGACGGCGTTGACTGCGATGGCCGCGACGAACTGTGGACTTCGCATGGCTCCGACATTATGAGACATCGGGCCATCGACTTGCGATTCGACATCGACACAGACGCGAACGATCTGCCGTTGTTGTAGAACACCACTTGCTCGACCTTCTCGGAGTGCAGCCCCTTATATCTGTACGCGCAGAACGGCAGCCGACTCTTGGCCGACGATTCCGTGGTCGTCCTGACCACGAGCTCTTCAAAATTGTACGTCTGCTTCTCGTTGGCGTCGTCCGACTTGTCCTTGAACGGGTTCCGCTTGTCGGACGACATGAACTCGAGCACGCTCACGCCGCCGCCTTCGTCGCCGACCGCTATCTTAGACGAACCGGTCTTACTGCGCTCGCAGTACGTGTGCACGTACGCGAGATGAGTGGCAAACGTGCGATCCCATAAATCGACGATGAAGCACAGCTTGAATTGGCCCGACGACATGTCGTAGAACAACAGTTGGCCGCCCACGACCGACAAGCAAATGACTGTGAACTCCGGCAGCCCCACTAGACCGTTTACCTCGATCGGTGATGAATTCTGTTGTATTATATAATATAATGTTGGTTGAGTGAATTACAGTTACAGCAAACGATATAACTCGATCAAAATGTGTAGGTACTTCGATGCGTTTTATATAAAAAAATCTTGATTTGGTAAAATAGTTTTATTTTTTTTTATAGGTAAACAACCCGAATTATAGTTGAATTTCTATAATATAGTACCTACCTGAATGTAAAATTATTAATGCATGAATACAGTGGCGTAGCCAGGTTTATGAAATGGGGGGGGGGTGTTTAAGTATAGATCAAAACCAAGTTTTTACAGTTTTCGTATATAAATAAATTTAGATTTCGGGACTTGACTTGTTGTGCTAAATATTATCGAACTATGATGCAGTCAAAGTTGTCAAAATATTCTTAAATATATATAGTTACATTTTTATATTATTTTTGAAAAATTCATAAAACATACTACAATTTTCTTAATAAAAAACTAAAAAATAAGAAAGTATATAAACATAAATAATTTATACATGGGTTTACTAATTTTAATATAGGTACCTACCTAGGTAGTAGGTACCTATATTGATCAATGTGATAGACGGAGTACACTATTGCATGTTTTGGACATTTTTAAACTATTGTGAAATAAAACAACTTTATTTTTAAAAATACTGGTATAAAATACTAGGCTAATAAATATGTAATAACGAATAACGTGATATGCAAACACCGTGATAAACGAACACGTATCTACTTATTTTCATTTCTTCGTACAATCTAGAATGTAGATGTCAATTACACTTTTAACACAGTCTTGTCACAAAGAGACTTATAAAATCTTTCATACCATAATTATGCGAAAATAGGGCAAACCGTATAACCAAGCTCCACCAACAACTTTAACAGCCCTCCCAATCATTTACTAAATTTTTTTAATTCAATTTTATAATAGTATGGTTTTAGGCTTCGGCCTCCCCAAATTTCAAAATTAGAGCCTATTGTACCTAACCAAACATAATATTTTTAAAGATATTTTTCAATGATATCCAAATATGATTTTTCCCTACAATTGTATGTAGTATGTACCTACATTTAAGTTAGTAAAATGCAAAATATGCATAAATATGCAAAAAATCGCTCAAATGTACACTTTTCCTAAAATATGCAAATTCAAACTGTGTTTGATTAAACATTTAAAAATTTTCATAAGACAAATTTATAAATTATCTAAAATAATGCGAGCAGTCCCAAACCCTATAAACAATATTTTTATTAGGGAGGAAAATGTCATTGGGGGGTGTTTAAACACCCCCCCTCCCCTTGGCTACGCCACTGCATGAATATAAAAATTGTAATATAAAAAAATATAGAATCCTTCCACCGCTGGTCTATGATCATTATTATAAATATTAATATTAGCATTGGTGTACCCACTACAAAGGGCTGGACATGGAGTCTCAGAGATTTTACGCTGCAGTAATCAATATATGCCTCTAAATAAAGCCCCTCTGTGGTATTTTATATTATAATTATTATTTGAATTTCGTTCATACGACGCATGAAGCAGACGTGGGCCACGGACCACCGATTGCTAACAACTGGTTAATAAATTGTTTACTGACTCACACAATTTCTCAGCAATAATATGTTCCCTGTGCATTTTACTTGGCTCTTAAGCATTTACACCTATCGACTAGGTACCTATAAATAATATGCATATGTAAGTGTACTGCTGAATATATATTACCGTAACAGTTTGGTGTGTAGTTTTCCATTGCATGTCTGACTTGTAACGAACAATTTTCCCTGATTTACTAGCAGCTATGTATTCAGGCTCGTTGGGTTCTTTTTGAGATTGTTTTATTTTGTTCGGTAAGTACACTATATCTATGTAATGAATCTTGCCGTCGTTTTTTCGGTATTCGATCCTTTTGTTCGGTAGTAATTTGGGCATTAATTTGGATAGTTCACTGTCTTCGTTTGATAGAAATATATTATGTTTACGCTTTATTTCAAGTTCTGATGCAAAATAAGTAACGAATTGTAAAAAGTTGATGGTGCCTTTTTTTTTTACATCTATTTTAGAGAACAATACGTGGAATTTTTTATTCGATAAAATTATATCGTATGGTTTCAAAATATCATATAATTGTTTTTCTTCTACATTTCCATTGTCGTATTTCAGAAAACTTTCTCGTATATCACTCAATGCCGTCTCGCTTACTTTTTTCATTAAATTATTCAAATATATTTTCATTCCATTAATATCTTCAATGTTTTCATCGCTTTCATCATCACTGTTATCCTTAAGATAATAATATAATACATCTAATTAGCCATTAGGTACTCATTTAAAAATAAATAAAATGTATTAGGTATGAATTAAACTTATCGACGTCTTAAAACAAGTAACACCAAAATAAGAAATTAAAAAAAATGTACTACCCAATACCAAAATATTTACACAAAATGATCATATTATGATGAACAATTATTATTGGACTATATATGTACCAATTAATTTGGTAATAAATGTTCTTTTGGTGGCATTTTTATTGACAGAAAAAAATTTAAAAAACAAGGATTAGAAAAAAATGTTTCTTATTAATTCATTAGCCTGTAAACAAGAATTTCTTTTACATTAGTTGAGAAGCGCATTCGCTTCATGATCAAAGTTAACCTAACGATGAATTGAAAAAAGAAGAAAATAGTCTCAGACTCGCGGCTTGAGTATTATACCCAAAACGGTTGCCAATTGCCATAGAATTAAACATTTCACTTTATATTAAGCACATAAATTGTATATATTTTGATTGTTTTAGTAACACTAATTAAAAATAAAGATGACTAATGATAACCTCTACTATGTAGGTAATTAGGTACGAAATTACACTAAATTAATCATTTTTATATTAGTGCTCGCTACAGCACGCATTTGGGGAATTTTTAAGTTGCGCCAAAACTGTTTTAATTCGTATCAAAAATAGGTCCACTGTGGACCACAGTTATATTTGCAACAAAACAATTTTAAATTGTTAACTTTTTTGTGTGCAAAAGTGTTACAAATTTGAAATTTTCTTAAAATGTGGAGGTAATGCATTGTCACCATCTTATGAAAAAAACCTATTAAAATTAAAAATATTTGAAATAATAAATGTTTCATTATGGTGAAATAATTAATACTATACCTATATAACTTATATATTATTTAAATTATGACATGTATATGCGTATTTTTATTCAGGTATATAGTTAATTATTTTATATTTTTACTTTATACAATTTCCTTTTAGATTTTACTTAGTGTCATAGGTGTCATATCAAACAAATAAATATCTTACCATTATGTCTTTCCTTGTTAAAATAAAATGTATATACTGACTTGAAGCTCTAGGATATTATATTATATTTAAATAATTAAGTATACTTGTAAGTTTACTTTGTACTACTAAGTAAACTTTTATAAGTTTAAATTAACAAATATCAATTATGTAAAAATTAAAAATAATATTTTTAATGGTTGCTTAGCATTTCATTTATAACTAGCTATCCCGCCCGACGTTTCCCAGGCCAAATAATATATATATATATACCATATTTCTTCTAATTACAACATTAATATAATATGTAACGAATTGCTACCATTTAGATTGACAAAAGAAATGTCTTTTTTCGTTTGCTAAAAAATATCACTTGTGTGCTATACCCTTTACCTATTTACAGCCTATATGAGTTGAAAAATCATGCTGTATCCAATTTTCAAGTAATAACCTATTAAATAACTTTTATTGAAAGCGGTCCAGTCATTTTTTGACGCTATTAACTTCGGATGAAACAATATTCAATTTTAATTTATTTCAGAAAAAAAATTAGATTATACTGCAAGTGTATCTTGGGTTTAGTGTACCTATACATAGGTACCTTAGTTCACAGATAAATTTGGGTAGCTTTGCGAACTCGACCAAGGTGAATAATTTATTTGGTGGATTGGGTATACCACTTGGTATAAATCGAACGTGGTTCAAAGTGTTCAAACTATTATTTAAACATTCCTGATATTTCCAATATTAATTCGAAATTTTCACAAAATCGGTCAAGTAATTTTTGAGAACCTAGCTACAAATATACATTCAACTTTAATATTTGTTTTAAGATATAATTTCTTTATTCAAAACCATAAGCATGCGACGATTTGATGGGTGCTTTTACCTCATCTGCTAGAGTAACTAATGGCAAATATTTAAAATACTAAGTTTTACTAATTATTTCTCCTATACCCAATAGCAACCATTAATAAACAATCATTTCTATCGCAAATCTCAAAATTCTAGTTTGAGCCCCTCCAGGGGGTGTTTCTCTTCTATATTATGTATGTTATATACATACAAACCTTCCTCTTGAAGACTTTGTAGTTTGTTGGACTTTGTTTTAAAATATGTTCAGATTATCGATTTAAAATAAATTACTATACAAACTATGGCAATTTAGCCACTTATGTACTATACAATTTAATTAATAGGTACCTTTCTAGACGTGCTCAGACTTTTTACACAAGGGGTACCTGCTTTAAAAAATACCTAGCTCAATACAAAAAAGGGTGGGCATTGGGCAAGTGGGTACCGCTCTGTACTGTAATGGTTGTCTCGTAGGCATGTATAGTCAAATCGGGCATTTTACTAAATGCCAAGGAAAATAGTAAAAGAATTTAATTTTTATGCGATTTTACTATCCCCTAGAGTGACTAGACATTTAGTTGTATAACTAGTCATTTAGTTAAACTATTTAACTAAATGCCTATTTCAAGTCAGGCAAATAATGAAAATGAAACTTTTTGCATTATTTTGAAAATTAAGATATATTTTCTTATCAATTATTTATTGCTATTATATATGTAAAACAATTATATGTACAGGTAATTTATTTATATTTAAAATACGTACCTAAGTATGTAAAATATTTTTGATCATGTCCTTCGGTACTATTGTTTTGAAACTTAAATTATAAATACATATAGATAATTACTAATTAGTCAAGCAGAATAGCGGCAATATCAAAACGGTCGGTATTGGTGTTTAAAAAAAAAATGTTAAATGTTAAATGTTCCAGCCCGTCCAGGCGTTCCAGCAAATGCCACCAAACAATAACATGTAACAACAAGAAGTAACTAAAAATTAACAAAAGTTTGTAATCATAATATAACTTTAGTATTAGCTAATTTATTTTATTAACTTTACCCAATATAATATATTATTAAAACTCAGTTTAAATATTTCAATATCTTATATTATTATGATAATCAAATTAAAATGAAATTGTACCTATGCCACTTGAATACAATGTTTGTATTTAAAAATAAAACTTATATTTAATAATTATGTTTATGTACTTATTATAGACATTTATAGACATATTATAACTTAATTTATTATACACAAATATATTAGGTAGGTTAACTGCTATATTATGTTATTATTATTATAGTGGTAATATAGATTTCATAGTATGTTAAAGTAATATCTGCAACTAAATCAAAAAGTCAAGTACAACATTTTAATTAAGAAAATTCAAATAATTGGTAGGTAAAATTTTAAAACAGATAAATAATTTTACATTTTCTATCGATGTATACTATTTTGTTTTCAACTAATCTGGTACTTGAATTAATTATTTAAACGATTGTTACCTACCTAATATTATAATTAATTGTTAAGTAACGTTAAATAACAGGAAATGCTCAAATATTATTGAGTCTATATTTTCAAACTAAGAGTTCTCTAAATATTAAAAAAAACTAAAAACAATACACAAATCATAATTCACAAATAAGCTAAGAATATTTACACTAAAATTATTTGTCCCGTTATTTTTTTCCATTTTCAGTACCACCCAACACCGTGTCACGGTATTCAATATATAGGTAACAAAGATGACAAAATATTTTTCCGACCAAATATTTATTACTTTTTAAGTGCCCACATTTGTACTGCTGATATTCCTACAATACTAACAACTTAATAGTTTATCTTAGCTACTTGAGATCGACTTTCCCACATTTTTGATTTTTTAATCCTATGTTGCACGTGTGTCAGACAAAGACAGAAAATCACCGCTTCCAAACCCCTTAATGGTTTATGTATACTTAAGTATCTAAAACCTATTTTTTAAATAAAAAAATTATATTTAAATCTGTTCTATTCTGCATAAGTAGGTCCCTATTATACATACATTTAATAAATCGGTGCAAATACAAACATAAATCTCAGGGAGGACCCTAATTTGAGGGTATTTTGGAATGTATTTTAGGAAAGGATCAAGAAAATCCTTACACTAGCGCTTTTTAAGACAGCTAGGAGGGTTGTTCAGAATTTATTGTAAAATACTAAATTATAATAGAATATTGATATGAGATTAGAGGGCTGGAGTAGTGAAGTGTGTACAGGGATAATTAAAAGTTATATTTTTTATAGTACCTAGGAATTGGCTAAATTTAAAAAAATTGGACAAACCAACGAAAAAGATGTTTGAAGAGATGTTGAATCAACAAGAAATAGGACCACAATAGAAGTTAATGTAACGGCGGAAGAACTATTGGAGAAACCAACGACACAAGAAATAGAAATGGGATAAGAAATGCTGAAAAATGGAAAGGCCCCTGGAATTGATGAAGTAGTCCCAGAATGCCTAAAAAAAGGAGGAAAGAAGCTGACCTAACAACTTCACAACCTAATTACTGATATATGGGAACAGGAGGAGATTCCAGAATCATGGAAAATGTCTGTCCTATGCCCGGTACATAAAAAGGGTGATAAAATGGATCCGAAGAACTATAGAGGAATTTCTCTGTTAAACACTTCGTACAAAGTGTTATCTAACCTCCTATTAAACAGATTGAAACCATTTATTAAAGAAGTTATTGGAGAATACCAGGCAGGATTCATGGTAGGTAAATCGACT